GGGGGAGGCGGTTAGACACACTGAGTGGCAAATAAACGTACCAAGTGACAGATAGGCAGACCAAGAGGTTGATAGGCACACCAAATGACAGGTAGACACACCAAGGGACAGATAGACACGCGGAATGATAGATAGACGTACCAAGTGACAGATATCCACACCAAGTGATTGGCGGATAGACAAACAAGTTATAGCTTGACGCACCAAGGGACATATAGATACACCATGTGACGGATATACACACAGAGTGACAGATAGACGTACAAAGTCACAGATAGACACTCCAAGGGACTTATAGACACACAGAGTGACAGATAAACACAGCAAGTGACAGAAAGATGCATCAAGTGACTGATAAACACACGGAGTGACAGATAGGCGTACCTAATCACAGATAGACACACCAAGTGACTGATAAACACACAAAGTGACAGATAGAGACTCTGAGTAACAGCTAGACACACGAGTAACAGATAGTTGTACCAATTTAAGTCATAGATAGACACACCGAGTGACAGATAGACACATGAGAAACATATAGACGTACCTAGTCACAGATAGACACACCAAGTTACTGATAGACACACAAAGTGACAGCTAGACACATTCAGTGACAGATAGATACATCAAGTCACTGAGAGACACACAGAGTGACAGATAGACACACCAAGTGACAGAAAGACACACAGAAGGACACATAACCACACAATGACAGACACATGAACACACAGACTGACAGGTCGATACGCAGTATAAAGGATATACATATACGGATAAACACATTAACACGCAGAACAACGGATAGACACCTAGACATAGACACATAATACGACGGATAGACACCTAGGCACAAAATACGACGGATAGACACATTGACTCACATAATAACAAATAGACACATAGATATACAGAATGATGGATAGACACAGATAGATACATACATAGTCAGGTAGATGTACTGAATAACGGATAGACACTTAGACACATAGACACATAGACTCGCAGAATGACGGATAGACACATTGACATACAGAATGATGGACTGACACATAGTCTCATAAAATGGCGGTTTGACATATAGATACATAGAGTGACGGATATACACATACACACATAAACAAATAAAGTGACGGATAGACAATTAGAATAAAGGACAAACCCATAGACACACAGACACATAGAATGAGGGATAGACACATGGAATGACGGATAGACACATAGAATGACGGACAGACACACAGACACATAGACACATAGGCACAGAGAATGACGGACGGACACATAAACACATAGAATGACGGACAGACACACAAACACACAGACACATAGACACATGGACACACAGGCACAGAGAAAGACGGACAGACACATAGACAGATAGAATGGCGGACAAACACATGGACACACAGACATATAGAATGACGGATAGACAAATGTACCCATAGGGTGTCGGATATATATTATTATATAGAGGATGGACATACAGAATGATGAACAGATACATAGAATGACGGACAAACACATAGCCACATGAAATGACATATAGACACATAAACGCAGAATGGCGGACCGACAGATGGAGACATGGACACTTAGACGCATAGAAAGACGGGACAGATAAACAGACGGATGGACGCACAGAATGACGGAACAGATATACCTATGGAATGACGAGGATATATTATATACCGTCTTGCAAAAGTTCTGTCACACCCACCTTAAAAGTACAATAACTCGTTTACTATTCAACATAGCGAAGAGAATTTTGGTACAAGCGATCTTTACTTCTCTTTTGCCAACATGACATGAAAAGAATTGAAAAATGGCTTTCCTTATTCAAGGGATATAACTTTATTCACACTGACCCTTGCGAAGTCCAAATCAAAGTTTGCTCAGTATCGCGTGTGGCCTCGTCCAGCTT